TTAATATTAATTATGTAACGAATTTACTTTATTAATAAAGATCGTGAGAAATGCCTCACTTAACAGTAAAAAAAAAATAAAATCAATTACTATTGAAATTAATTATATTGTTTTTTAATGATATATATTTTTTTTTGTTAAAAATTGAAATTTATTTATCAAATAAAATACGATTAATATCAATATTGATATTAATCGATTATAAACAATTTTTTTTTTGATATTAATTAATAGTCAACCAATAATCGCTAGTAATCGATTATTGGTTGACTATCGATAAATAACTCTCTAAAAAATTTCCTGATGATAATTCAAACTATATCTTTCTAAAACATCTGGAACTTGAAATATCATGAGTTAATGATTCTCTATTATATCTAAAACATGTGATATATACAAGTGATATTTAGTATATGACACATAATATATGACACCCAATTTCAAAAGGTATTGATATTATAATAATATGAGTTTACAAATATCAATAGCTCTATTTTATTTTATTTTTAGTTTCTTTAATTATTAGTAAGAGGTTTTAAAGATATTAGGATAATTAGAATGAAACATTAATTTATTATTTCATTGTTTCACTTTATATTACATGTAAAGATAGGTTCTTAAATTAAAGGTGAAAACATAATTCAAATGTCTTTCATTATTAAAAAAGTTTTTTTTAAAATATAAGATTAAAAAAAAACTATTTATAAAGGTTTTTTGTAATTTAGGCTATTTAATCCAAGTGTTTTTTGAATTATGTCCCTATTAAAATAATGAATAAATAATTATGTCTCTTTTAAAGAGACATAATTAATCTGTAAAATTTTATATGCTAAATAGTTTAGGGACCCATTTTTAATTACATGCATATAATCTCTGGAGAACCAATAAGATTATATGTATTATTTTAGACTTGTATTTTTATTTTATTTATTTATATTAAGAAAATATATATATAAAGAAGCACTTTTTTCTTTAGGAAATAACAAAGTTGTCTGATTTTTCTCATATTTAATAAAGTTTTCCTTTATTAATTATAAACAATGCCTTGTTTATAACTTTTTAACATAAAATATTGCATGCTATAATATGGAATATTATAATTAGTATCAAATGAAACAATGATTTTTATAATAACTTATCAAAACAAATAACCAAAAATCCAATCAAATTCAAATCTTTCAACAATTCCTCTATTTTAATATTAATTATTATAGATATATCTATTATAGTTACTAACTCTTATATCTAAAGTAAATTCAATTTTACTAAATACATCTTCAAATTAATTACAAATTATTTTAATTTCCTTCTATCCAATGCTAAGTAGGTAATTATAACTGTTCAGAGTTTTTTAACAAGATATATTGTTTTAAAATTTCTTTTCAATACTAGTTTAGGGATTATTGTATATAAGCTAATATTTAACTTGTTGTACTACTATATATAAAAAATATTAGTTTTTTTCATAATGTATATTGTTAGTAAAGAAATTGCTTCAGTAAGGTCTGGTGATGCGATATTTATATAATGTGCCTAATCAAAGTAATGGAAATGCTTTAGAAATAAACTCATAATATAATAAAAAGTTTAGATAGTTTATTTTATAGTCTGTTTGTTTATAAGTTATAGAGTTATAGTCCTATAGCAGATAGTCATAGTGATATAAATAAGAAAGGAAAAGAAACACAACATAACTTAATATAATGGAATGTAACTTTAATAAAATTTAATTACTATTCTTGTAGAAGCATGAAATGATTATGCAAGTGTTAATTAAAAGTTATTAAAAGTGGTGGTGTAATAAATGTACCTAAAAAGAAAATCTTTAATTAATTCACGTTCTGAAATAATGTTGCCATGAGAGGATTATTCTGAAAGTCACTAACGAGATTTGTGACTTGAACTATTGAAGGAGAATGACAAGAGAAAGAAGAGAGAAAGGTAGTTTAAAATAAACTAAATCAAATCCACACCTCAAGTAATGAAAAAAAGAATAACTTATCTTGACATTATATGAGTTTAACCTGTTCCAAACAATAGACTTGCTGTTTTAATGTCAACAATATCTATCATTATACAAATTAAATAAAGAAATACTATTTATCTATAAAAAAAAAAATAAAAAAATAAAGCCTAAAGTATAGATAATAGTAATATATGACTTTGGATTTAGTTATTTTCTTTTATACAAGTTTTATTTTATATTTGATTTATATTTTCATAATTTAATTTTTGATTTTTATATAAATTTTTAATAAATATAAATTTTATTATAAATTTTAATATATATTTACAATTTAATAAATTATTATATATATGATTTATAATTATAAGTTATAGTTTCAAATTATAATTTATACTTTAATATATACAAATCAAATAAAAAAATAAAATTTAATATATGTTTAAAATAAAAAAATTTTTTTACTTCTATTACAAGTTAAAATTTTTATAATTAAATCATTAAAATTATAGTAATTAAAGTTATTCTTTATAAATAATTCTATAAGATTGCTTATAAATTATATAAATTTTAACTAAAAATTTTTTTAATTTGTTTAAGACCTACTTTTATTTAAAAAAATAATTTTAAGAATTAAAAATTTTACTTATAATTAAACTTAAATTTTTATTAAATAAATAAAAACAAATATTATCAATAGATAATATATAATTAAACCCAATATTATAAATTTTTTAGAAAAATATTTTGATTATTTAAAAGAATAAATAAGAAATACCTTTTTAATTAAAAAATTTTAAATGTTATAAAAAAAATGTTTTATGATTTAAAAGATAATATTAGAGAGATATATATAATTTACAAGAATAATATGTTATTTGTTTTATCAAGTAAAATTAAAATTTATTTGTTTAATAAAGTTATAACCTATAAATTATTTCTGTAAAATAATTGATGAAAAAAATAAACTTTAAAAAAATACATATAAGTATATTTGTTTACAGTATTTTATTAAATTATTTTTTACAATAAATAATTTTTTTATTATACAATATATTGTTGTAGGGAATATAGGGAATACTGTAATGGGGTATGATGTGAAAGTGTGTTGAATTTGGAGTGATTTTCCACTAGTATAAATAGAAGTAGGATAGAATAATAAACTAAACAACTTTGTAATATTTGTCATTATTTGAATAATAAATTGATATTTGTGCTTCTACCTTAATAAAACTAGTCTAAAGAGAAACTATTGTTCCGTGAAAGATCCAGGAAGGCCGAAAAAGGATAAAGAGAAGCATTCAAGAGCCATCGGTCAGGTCGTAACACGCCTCAAAAAAGAAAGAGAATCCTATCTGGTCCACTGGTTTTAGGTTAGCGACCAACTCGCCGGGAATAACAATAGTAATATAAATAAACTTACAGTATTTAACATTAAAATATACAGTATATCGTATATATACTGTATATATAAAACGAGCCTGTCCGGGGGTTCTCACACATGAAATTAAACATTTACATTTTTTAAGTTTGTTGAATATTAAAATTTTTTAATAGAAAGTTACGAACGTTTCCTATTTCAACAGCTCTTTTGCTAGAAGCATTTATTAGAGGCACAAAATTTGATTATTTTTGACATTAAACGTGAAGATTATATATATATATTTTTAGAGGATTATTTCTTATTGACCACTGCGAACATTTATGTACATGCAATATTGGCATATTATTATTATTTCTATTAACAGAAATTTTACGTTAGAAATATACATCAAAGAAGAAGATTTCGATTTCTATGAATTTACAACTACTTTTGGGATTGAATTGTCCATTAGAATCTACTTTTCCACGTAAAAGCGATATGCTCTGTGGAATCGTATCAATCTATGTCCATTTCATCAATCTTATCAGCTTCCTGATCATTTAATTGCTCAATTTCCATTATTGCTTCACTCGTGTCGGCATCCGCATCACACATATCGATGTCACCTTCGTTAATTTCGATAGTTTTTTCTTCAACAGTTTCCTCTGCATCAGTAATCTCCTCAATTTTAGGTTTACCACTACTATCGTTGACGTACTCATCTTGATATGGGCGATACAAGACCATCTCCTTTCCGTATACTCCACAAGAATCATCTTCTACGTGATCAATTTGTGACCGCATGTATCTACCTAACGCTTGTTGACATTGATCCGCAAATTCTAATCTTACGTTCTTGCTATTCAATACCATCAATAAATTCTGTGATGTTTGAATAACAGGGTTTGTTGCAGATTGAACATCTTTGTTAATGTTGGCTTTAAGTTCTCGAATAATAGATCTAAGATTTTTTTCTTCGAGTTCCCTATCGTTGCTAACTTCACAATTCTCCGAATTTCGAGAATTATTGTTACTAGCATTTTGAATGTATTCATTTTTTCCAGCGTCCGAGAAGCGGTCAAATTTTTTTTGTTTGGTAGACGGAACTGACCGAAGTATTTCGCCTGTAGAAAGGTCAATAATTCGTGGCCTTGATTCGAAATCGTCTTCCCAAGGAATGGCGGATTTTGATGCATTTTGGTTATGTCCTACGTCATCGATAATTGCCAATGTAGGGGATGAGGAAATGGGTGAAGAAGTTCTGAATCTCTTATTACGAGGTTGATCTTCATCACCCTGAGTATACGCTCGTTTTCTTGTATAGTGTTGATATCTTGTGTTCGATACATCATCGAACTTTTGTCGACTTAGTGTAGTATTCATTGGTTTTGAGAGTGGCGTAAAGATATATGAAAATCAGAAAAGTCAAAGGTACAGAAATACTTTACGGGATGTGTTTAATAAAGTTGGAAATAAAAATGATTTTTTTGGTAAAAAAGCGTGTCTTTATTTGTTATGCATATCACGGTAAAGAATGTGGTCGAACCTTTTAGAAAATTCTATATTGTACAATCTTTTGCCAGTACATATTACGTAATAAATCACTTGTCGATTATAGAACTTAACAGAATACAAAAAAGCAATCACCAATCACCGAATAAGTATGATTCAGTTATTACAACATACATATTACCAATATTCAATTCTATATTAACTTAATCTGGTAAGAATAAAATCAATTTCTATTAAAAATACAATTACGTAATAATAATTTGATATTATGGTTTATAAAATTATATATGTAATATATCACATATTTTTTTTAAAAAAATTAATATTTTTGAAATTTCGTTATATTACAAATCTTATATACTATATACTGTATGACAATTTATTTTAAAATTTATGTATTTTATAAAAGTTATACTAATTGTCAAAAACTGATTTAATAATATTGATTTATTTGACATTTTATATTTTTATATTTGTTTATATTATCAAGTGATATTATTTTTTTATAAAAAATGAGTTTATCATTCTGCTTTTGTTTGTTTTTTATAATTAAAATAATTAATAATTTTATGTAATAATTTAAAATCAAAAAATAAATATGTAATTATTATTTTTATATTATCTATCTTTTAATTCAAAATTCATGAATTTATTATTTATTAATCATATTTTATAGATTAATAGGTTAAGTTTAAAATTCAAATTTATATAGTTAGAAAAATTTTATTATTATTATTATTATTTTTTTTTTGTAGGTAAACATCATTTCTTTATTTGATTTGTATATGTCAAGGTATACATCGTGAAAGAAACAACAT